TGTGTTCTGTGCTCTGGGATGATCAAGAAAATGATGAACTTGTTCAGTGTCAATTGATGACTCTTTGTGGGTGGACTGGGATGCAAAATCAGGATCTGTAGCATAACTAAGGGAGAAAAGTAGCTGTTCTTAAAATACTGTATATGGAATACTTCAAAACCCTTTGCATCCCCACTTCTCATCTTCTTTTCCCCGGCAGAAGACCTTCCTTGCCACTTCTACCCACCAAACTTTCTCCAAGTCTCAGAGGTGGAAATGAGAGGTTCGGAAGACGTTGCGCCTGGCACCGTGTTACAGCGCTTGATCCAGGAGTTGCGCTATGGCAACCCGAACGAGAACATGAACCTGCTGGCTATCCAGCAGCAGGCCACAGGGAGCGCAGGACCAACCAACTCCACTACCGCTGCGCTCTCTTCTTCCACGGAGAACCTGGTGCCAGAAGACCCACAAATGGTCCAGGAGTCAGCCCGCCAAGAACCTCAGGGCCAGGAGCACCAAGGGGATAGTTCTGTGATGGAGAAGCAGTCCAGAGGCTCCCAGCCTCAGCAAAACAATGAGGAACTCCCAACTTACGAAGAGGCCAAAGCCCAGTCTCAGTTTTTCAGGGGTCAGCAGCAGCCCAGTGCCATGGGGACCGGATTTTATGTGTCTGGAACCTCCTGCACAAAATCTAGAACAGAAGGGAGGCCGACTTTGGCCCGAGCCAACAGTGGGCAGGCACACAAGGACGAAGTGCTGAAGGAACTAAAGCAAGGCCATGTCCGCTCCTTGAGTGAAAGGATAATGCAGCTGTCATTGGAGAGAAATGGTGCCAAACAGCAGCCCCTCACCTCATGGAGAAGTAAAGGCCTCAAGCCTGCAGGGCCGAACTCTTCCCAGGCTGCCAACAAAGGCATGGATCCGAGAGGGCCGCCACCTGACTATCCATTCAAAAACAAGCAGGTGGTCTCTCCCCTGAGCAAATCTCAGGAGCATGGGGTGTTCTTTAATGACCAACCTTCCGGAATGATCCAGGAAGCTGTGAATCCATCGTATTCAGCGCCACAGCCAGCAAGGAGTGAAGTTGCGGTGGTCCGCTACCAAGCTCCCCCAGAATATGGTGTGACCAGGTAATTTAAAATCTTTGCTGTCTTACCACACATTCTTTTTAAATCAGTGGAGAATTTTACAGAAATTCAGGCAAAACTTTTAAGGGCAAAACTAAGCATTTGACATCATTTGTGAAACTGCTGCTGCGCATGTCCGTGTG